GTAAATTTTCGCAACATACACTATTGGTCAGTAGAGAACCCACATTGGATGAGAGAAGTGGACAAGCAGAGACCTTGGTCTATAATTGTTTGGGCCGAAATTCTTAATGATAAAATAATTTGTCCTCATTTTATCGATGGATCATAAAATAGTCGGAAGTATGCATAGATTTTAACAGAAATATTGCCACTATTATTAGATCTTCCACTGAATGTACGACAATTAATGGTACCAGCAAGATGGATATCCTGCTTATTCTGCACGGATTATTACTGAATTGCACAACAGAAAATTTGGAGATTATTGGATTGATCGGTCAGGAAATAACAGCCGCATGTTTCCCAGATTTAATACCTATGGATTTTTATTTGTGCGGAAGTTAAAACAACAAGTGTACAGCGAAATTCTGATAATAAGAGAAGACATGAAGGAACATATAAGAAGAGCTTGCGTTGCGATTGATCCGAATGAAATTCGTCGTGCAGTGTTATCTGTGTCTCGACACGTTTCAGAAAATGCGTCGATGTTCAGGGTCATCATTTTAAACACTTGTAATGGTAAATACGCAAATAAGTAAATTAGTGACATATTCGAAAAGTGCTTTCAAATAATTTATTTTCAATTACAGCTAATCTTGTTATGTTTAAATAAACCTTCAATGTTTATTTACGTATCGTAATACATTTAAACGATTAACGATATACCAACAAGAAGAGAAGACATGAAATTATTCGAAGAGTACCTTGAAACAATTTATTTTTCATTATATTCAATTATTTTATTGACCTTGCGTAAACTTGAATGACCTTCAATTATAGGTCATTGTATTCGTCTCTAAAATACTCTATCAAAATGTAAATAAAAAAACATATCATTCCATTTAAAAAAACAGATTTGACCTTTGCCTATCCTTTATGCCTCCACCTACAAAACAATTATTAACATCACATTATGTGTCCCTCGAAACCAAGCAATTTTTATTTGACACTCTTTCTTCTATTGTTAAAAACAAGCGA